AGGACAACAGATAAACAACAACAGAACAATAGCTGAACAACAGCAGGACAAAAGATGAGTGACAGCTGAACAACAGCCAAACAACAGCAGGACAACAGCTGAACAACAAAAGAACAATGGTTGAACAACCGAACAACATCTGAACAACAGCAAGACAACAGATGAACAACAACAGAACAATAGTTGAACAACAGCAGGACAATAGCTGAACAACACCAAGACAATATTTGAACAACACCTGAACAAAAGCTGAACATTAGCTGAAAAACTGCAGGACAACAGCTGAACAGCAGTTGAACAACAGCTGGAAAACAGCTGAACAACAGCAGAACAATAGCAAGACAACAGCTGAACAACAGCAGAACAACATCTGGACAACAGCTGAAAATAGCTGAACAACAGCCGGACAAGGGCACAACAGGAGCTGGACCACAGTTGAATGAAAGCTGAACAACAGCTGAACAACAAAACAATAGGTGAACAACAACAGGACAAGTATTGAATGACAGCAGGACAACAGATGAACAACAACAGAACAATAGTTGAACAACAGCAGGACAACAGTTGAATGACAGCTGAACAACAGCTGGACAAGAGCCAAAACACAGCAGAACAACAGATGAACAACAACATAACAATGGTTGAACAACATCTGAACAACAGCACAACAGCTGGACAATAGCTTAACAACAGTCAAACAACAATTGAACAACCACTGAACAACAACTGAACAACAGCAGGACAACAGCAAAACAACAGATGAAAAAATATGTTGAACAACATTTCAACAGCTGAACAACAGCAGGACAACAGTTGAATGACAGCTGAACAACAGCCGGACAAGAGCAGAAAAACAGCAGGACAACAGCTGAACATCAACAGAACAATGGTTGAACAGCTGAACAACATCTGAACAACAGCAAGACAGCAGCTGAACAACAGCAGGACAACAGTTGAATGACAGCCAGACAAGAGACAAACAACAGTAGGACAACAGATAAACAACAACAGAACAATAGCTGAACAACAGCAGGACAAAAGATGAGTGACAGCTGAACAACAGCCAAACAACAGCAGGACAACAGCTGAACAACAAAAGAACAATGGTTGAACAACCGAACAACATCTGAACAACAGCAAGACAACAGATGAACAACAACAGAACAATAGTTGAACAACAGCAGGACAATAGCTGAACAACACCAAGACAATATTTGAACAACACCTGAACAAAAGCTGAACATTAGCTGAAAAACTGCAGGACAACAGCTGAACAGCAGTTGAACAACAGCTGGAAAACAGCTGAACAACAGCAGAACAATAGCAAGACAACAGCTGAACAACAGCAGAACAA